TCTTTCTTTACTCCCTTCAGTTTCTTTCTTTGTCTTTCTTTGCTTATTTTTCTTTCTTTCTTTGCTTTCTACAGTTTCGTTCTTTGCCTCTTTTCTTTTTCTTTTTTTCTTTCTTTCTCTCCGTTTTTACTTTGCTTCTTTCTTTTCTTCTTTCCCTGCCTTTTTGTTTCTTTCTTTTCTTTCTGTTTCTATCTTTGCCTTTATCTTTCCTTTTTTCTTTTTTTTCTTTTCCCTGTTTTTAGTTTCTGTTTTATCTTTTGCCTTTTATCTTTTGCCTTTTTGTGTTTCTTTCTTTTTCTTTTCCTGTTTTTATTTGCTTCTTTCTGTTTCTATCTTTGCCTTTTTTCTTTCTTTTTCTTTGCTTCCTGTTTCTATCTTTGTTTGTTTTTCTTGCACTTTTTTCTGTTTTATCTTTGCCTTTTTTTTTTTCTTTTTGCTTCTTTTCCCTGTTTTTATTTTTCTTTTCTTTCTATCTTTGCCTTTATCTTTTGCCCTTTTCTTTGCTTCTTTTCCTGTTTTATTTCTTCTTTCTGTTGCTTTCTTTCTGTTTTTTTCTTTGCTTCTTTCCCTGTTTTTCTTTCTGTTTTATCTTTGCCTTTATCTTTTGCCTTTTTTTGTGTTTCTTTCTTTGCTTCTTTTCCCTGTTTTTATTTGCTTCTTTCTGTTTCTATCTTTGCCTTTATCTTTGCCTTTTTGTGTTTCTTTCTTTGCTTCTTTTCCCTGTTTTTTATTTGCTTTCTGTTTCTATCTTTGCCTTTTCTTTCTTTTGTGTTTCTTTTCTTGCTTCTTTTTGTTTTTTATTTGCTTCTTTTTGTTTCTATCTTTTTTTATCTTTGCCTTTTTGTGTTTCTTTCTTTGCTTCTTTTCCCTGTTTTATTTGCTTCTTTCTGTTTCTATCTTTGCCTTTATCTTTTGCCTTTTTGTTTCTTTCTTTGCCTTCTTTTTTGTTTTTATTTGTTTCTGTTTTTCTTTGCCTTTATCTTTCTTTTGTTTTCCCTTTTCCCTGTTTTTATTTGCTTCTTTCTGTTTCTATCTTTGCCTTTATCTTTGCCTTTTTGTGTTTCTTTCTTTGCTTCTTTTCCCTGTTTTTATTTGCTTCTTTCTGTTTCTATCTTTGCCTTTATCTTTGCCTTTTTGTGTTTCTTTCTTTGCTTCTTTTCCCTGTTTTTATTTGCTTCTTTCTGTTTCTATCTTTGCCTTTATCTTTGCCTTTTTTGTTTCTTTTTCTTTGCTTCTTTCCCTGTTTTATTTGCTTCTTTCTGTTTCTATCTTTGCCCTTTTTTGCCTTTTTTATTTGCTTCTTTTCCTGTTTTTATTTGCTTCTTTTGTTTCTTTATCTTTGCCTTTATTTGCCTTTTTGTGTTTCTTTCTTTTGCTTCTTTTCCCTGTTTTGTTGCTTCTTTTTCTGTTTTTTTGCCTTTATCTTTGCCTTTTGTGTTTCTTTCTTTGCTTCTTTTTTGTTTTTTGCTTCTTTCTGTTTCTATCTTTGCCTTTTCTTTGCCTTTTTCTTTTCCTTTGCTTTTTTTTTTTGCTTCTTTCTGTTTCTATCTTTGCCTTTATCTTTGCCTTTTTGTGTTTCTTTCTTTGCTTCTTTTCCCTGTTTTTATTTGCTTCTTTCTGTTTCTATCTTTGCCTTTATCTTTGCCTTTTTGTGTTTTTTGTGCTTCTTTCTGTTTCTATCTTTGCCTTTATCTTTTGCCTTTTTGTGTTTCTTTTTTGCTTCTTTTCCCTGTTTTTATTTGCTTCTTTCTTTTCTATCTTTTGCCTTTATCTTTGCCTTTTTGTATTTTTTCCCTTTTTTTTTATTTGCTTCTTTCTGTTTCTATCTTTGCCTTTATCTTTGCCTTTTGTGTTTTCTTTCTTTTTCTTTTTGTTTTATTTGCTTCTTTCTGTTTCTATCTTTGCTTTATCTTTGCCTTTTTTTGCTTCTTTTCCCTGTTTTTTATTTGCTTCTTTCTGTTTCTATCTTTGCCTTTATCTTTGCCTTTTTTGTTTCTTTCTTTTGCTTCTTTTTTTTTTTTTTGCTTTTCTGTTTCTTTGCCTTTTCTTTGCCCTGTTTTTTTCTTTGCTTCTTTTCCCTGTTTTATCCTTTATCTTTTGCCTTTGCCTTTTTTGTGTTTCTTTCTTTGCTTCTTTTCCCTGTTTTATTTGCTTCTTTTTGTTTCTATCTTTGCCTTTATCTTTTGCCTTTTGTGTTTCTTTTTTGCTTCTTTTCCCTGTTTTTATTTGCTTCTTTCTGTTTTTCTTTTTGTTTCTTTCTTTTTTGTTTCTTTCTTTTTCCCTGTTTTTATTTGCTTCTTTCTGTTTCTATCTTTGCCTTTATCTTTGCCTTTTTTGTTTCTTTTCTTTGTTCTTTTCCTGTTTTTATTTTTTTCTGTTTTTTATTTTTCTTTTTGCTTTATGTTTTTTTTCCTTTGTGTTTTTCTTTGCTTCTTTTCTGTTTTTTCTTTCTTTGCCTTTATCTTTTGCCTTTTGTGTTTTTTTCTTTGCTTCTTTTCCCTGTTTTTATTTGCTTCTTTCTGTTTCTATCTTTGCCTTTATCTTTGCCTTTTTGTGTTTTTTCTTTCTTTTGTTTTTCTTTTTCTTTGTTTTATCTTTGCCTTTATCTTTCTTTTGTGTTTCTTTCTTTGCTTCTTTTCCCTTTGCTTCTTTTGTGTTTCTTTGCCTTTATCTTTTGCCTTTTTTGTTTCTTTTCTTCCCTGTTTTATTTGCTTCTTCTGTTTCTATCTTTTATCTTTTGCCTTTTGTGTTTCTTTCTTTCTTTTTGTTTTTTTGCTTTTCTGTTTTTTCTTTTTCCTGTTTCTATCTTTTGCCTTTATCTTTGCCTTTTTTGTGTTTCTTTTTGCTTCTTTTCCTGTTTTTTATTGCTTCTTTTCTGTTTCTATTTTTCTTTGCCTTTTTGTTTTCTTTCTTTGCTTCTTTCCCTGTTTTTTTTTCTTTTCTGTTTCTATCTTTTGCCTTTATCTTTGCCTTTTTGTGTTTCTTTCTTCTTTTTCCCTGTTTTATTTGCTTTTTCTGTTTTATCTTTGCCTTTTCTTTGCCTTTTGTTTTCTTTTTTGCTTTTTCCCTGTTTTTTTGCTTTTTTCTGTTTCTATCTTTGCCTTTATCTTTTTGCTTTTTGTGTTTCTTTTTTGCTTCTTTTCCCTGTTTTTTTTATTTGCTTCTTTCTTTTTTTTTTGCCTTTTTTGTTTTCTTTTTGCTTCTTTTCCCTGTTTTTATTTGCTTCTTTCTGTTTCTATCTTTGCCTTTATCTTTTGTTTCTTTCTTTGTGTTTTCTTTTTTCTTTCTTTTGTTTTCTTTTCTTTTTTCTTTTCTTTGCCTTTTCCTTCTTTCTTTGCTTCTTTCCTGTTTTTGTTTTTTCTTTCTGTTTCTATCTTTGCCTTTATCTTTGCCTTTTTGTGTTTTTTCTTTCTTCTTTTCCTGTTTTTTTATTTGCTTCTTTCTGTTTCTATCTTTGCCTTTATCTTTGCCTTTTGTGTTTCTTTCTTTCTTCTTTTCCCTGTTTTTTTTGTTCTTTCTGTTTTATCTTTTGCCTTTATCTTTGCCTTTTTCTTTTCTTTCTTTGCTTCTTTTCCCTTTCTTGTTTGCCTTTTCTTTTTGCTTTGCTTCTTTTTCTGCTTCTTTCTGTTTTATCTTTGCCTTTATCTTTGCCTTTTGTGTTTCTTTCTTATTTTCCCTGTTTTTTTTGCTTCTTTCTGTTTTATCTTTGCCTTTTCTTTGCCTTTTTTGTGTTTCTTTTTGCTTCTTTTCCCTGTTTTTTTTTTGCTTCTTTCTGTTTCTATCTTTCTTTATCGCCTTTTGTGTTTTCTTTTCTTTCTTTTTCCCTGTTTTTTATTTCTTTTTCTTCTTTTCTTTGCCTTTTTGTATTTCTTTCTTTGCTTCTTTCCCTGTTTTATTTGCTTCTTTCTGTTTCTATCTTTGCCTTTTTTTTTCTTTCTTTTTCTTTTCCTTGTTTTTTTATTTGCTTCTTTTGTTTTATCTTTGCCTTTTTTGTCTTTCTTTTTCCTTGTTTCTTTTTTATTTCTTTGTTTTTATTTGTCTTTGCCTTTTGTGTTTTTCTTTTCTTTTCCCTTTTTTTTTCTTCTTTTTTTTTTTCCTGTTTTTTGCTTTTCTATCTTTGCCTTTATTTTCTTTTTTTGCTTCTTTCCCTGTTTTTTGTTTATCTTTTGCCTTTTTAATTTTTTTCCTGTTTTTATTTGCTTTTTTGTTTCTTTCTTTGCTTCTTTCTACTTCTTTCTTTACTCTTTTCTCTTTCTTTGTTTCTTTTCCCTCTATTTCTTTGCCTTTTTTTCTGTTTCTTACTTTGCTTCCCGTCTGCTTCTTTCTTTGCTTCTCCCTGCTTTTTTCTTTGCTTCCAGCTCTTGCTTTCTTTGCATCTTTACGTTTTTTTCTTTGCTTCATTTCCCTGTCTTTCTTTGCTTCTTTCTCATACTTTCTTTTCTTCCTTCTACTTTTTCTTTACTTCTTCTGTTTCTTTCTTTGCTTCTTTCCGTTTCTTTTCTTCCTTCTTTTCCTCTTCTTTCTGTTTCTTTATTTGCCTATTTCTGCTCCTTAATTTCCTTCTTCCTACTTTTTCCCTTGCTTTCTTTTCTTTCCTGCTTTGCATCTTTCCGTTTCTTTCTTTTCTTCTTTTCCCTTTCTGTCTGTCTTTCTTTCTTTCTTTCTTTCTTTGCTTTTATCTTTGTTTATATGTCTGCTTTTCTTTTCTCTTAATTTCTATGCATTTTCTAATTTTTTCTGTTCATGTTTTAATTATTTTTCTTTCTCTTTCACTTTCTTTCTTTCTTTCTCTTACCTTTCTTTATGCCGTTGCCCTTTTTCCCATTGTATTTCTTTCTTTTGTTTTGTCTTTCTTATTCTTTTTCACTTTAATGTATTTTCTTTCTTTCTTTCTTCTTTTCTTTCTATCTTTTCTTTCTTTCTCATAAACCTATCCATTAATATCTTTTCTTACTTTTCTTTTACAAAATTTTTTACACTAATCTTTTCTTTTCTTTAATATGTCTCTCTCTCTAATTTTTGCCTTCGTCTTCGATCTCCTCCATCCACTTCGTGTTTGTCTGTCTCTCTTGGTTTTGTAGCCTAAATTTCTTCATATTATTGAGAGAGACTTCAGATTTGTTCACCCTCTTTCAGCTAGGCTTTTAATTAAAATCCTAATTACCTGTGGGGTAGGCTGATCCAAAAATACATTTCTTTGACAGAATTGCATATGTCTGAGAGGAACAGCAATCTGAAATACCACACAGAGTTGGATATCTTAATCATTTCTAGTTCCAGTTCTGTTTGAGGCAAAATGTAGAAGCAGTCCCACACTTTCTTGTAAGCCAGAAGATTACAAGCCACTTTAATGCCAGGAAATTTCATTATTAACGAAAAGTTTTCCATGAAAATAATCTGTTATATATTTTTAGAAAAATCGAAATATGATTTAAGATTGGTTCTTAATCTTTCAATTAGTTCATCGGCGGAATTATCAAGGTTACAGTGGCCGGCTCTCTTTATATGCAGCCACTACAGCTGAATACGAATACTAAACTCTCAGCGTAGTGGGTCGTCTGCTTCTCGTAAAGAAGGTTAAAACTCTCGGAAAAGTAACCACATACAAAGCAAATGATTAATGACCCAGACATAAACGATGGATAGATAACTATTCTCTAACCAACATTTACCTATCTCTTGACGAAGCAAATTCTAATTGACACAAAAATAAACAACCTGCATTTACACATCATCGAACCAAGCAAATACTTACAGATATAAACGACTTATATATGCATTTCATCGAACTAAGCAAATGCTTATAGGCTCAGATATTAACGACTAATACTTATATATCCTTGAAACAAGTAAATACTTATAGACTAGACTCACATAGCAGCTGATCTCGATATTCTCATCATAATCGGTCTGTCCGTTTAAAACTTGAAAAAAAATTCTTCTTTTTTTAATGTGCCATGTCCGTTCAGGACGTAGGCGATCATGGCTCTCCACCTCACTCTATCCCTTGCAGCTCTCAACAAGTTCCTTTCCCTTTGCTTCCTCCCCCAGGCCACGTTCTGACATCCACTTGCTTAAGTTCGCCAGGTATGTCTCGTTCTTTTCCCTTGTTTCTCTTTCCCTCTAGTCGAAGCGCGACTATCAGATTCTCCGGGCCTTCCTTCCTCATTATGTGTCCCAGAAACTTCAGCTGCCTCTTCCTGATATTAAGTATAAGCCCCCTCCTTGTTTGCAACCACTCTAAGATCTCATCCTTGCTCACACACTCGGTCTATGATATCCTTAGAATCTTTCTGTAGAACCACATTTCTGTCGCCTCAAGTCTCTTCTTCATCTTTGAGGAAATCATCCAACATTCGCTACTATAAAGAAGGACAGATATCACGTAACAGCTCAGTATTCTTTTCTTTGTTACCAAAGATATCCTCCTGTCTCGCAGTATTCTGTCCAGATTTTGGAATGTGTCCTTGGCCATCCCAATACGTCTATGGATCTCAGTGTCACACTTACCGAATTACTGATTGTAAAATATAGGCAGGACGATATTTTCAAGACCCAGCTTCACTTTCTTTTTATCTTAATAATTTTTTAATAATCTTTTAATCTCTATAATCTTTTACGGATTCCATGATGTTCTTCTAATGGCTGTATGAATTCGTAGGTCTCTTTCTCTAAAAAATCGACTCTCGCTTTCAGTTTGATGAAAATGGGTATCTTCGTTTTGTCTGATCGGGAAGAACTTTTCCAGTTTTTCGTCTCTGATATTAAACTTTTTAGTTGTTTTTTTTTTTCTACTACCTAGTTAAGAAATCTTATTTCCAATATAAAACCGAGAAAAAAAAACAAAGCCAAAATACAAAGAATGTTTCCTTTTCTCTCATCTTACCAATAAAAATACTTGAAATTGTCTTCAGGTCAAACTGAAATTTTAATTACAAGTCGACAGCGTCCTTCTTCTAATATGGAAGTCATTAAATTATGTGAAATATTGAAAAAACATCTAGCGATAATTTGCCGGAGGAAACGGAACATTTTAAAATATTAAAGTGGATGTTTAATTAAAAAAAATGCTGGGTAGGAGAGGCTCATTCAAGTACATCGCGCTAAATCCTGAAAGGAATTATCGGATAAGAATACTTTTAAAGTGAAGGAATCCTCTAAAAATAGCAAAATAAACCAAGCGTTTGTTTTTTCAATATTATTTACGTCCCCAAAGAGGATTACCACTGAAAATGATTTGAAACGTAAAAAAATACCTATATATAGGACATACAACTATATACATAGAATTTTGAATGTTTACATTTATTTACCAAGAATATATTAATATTCTTGATTTATCTGCATGCCACAAGATCTATCTATCTATCTATCTATCTATCTATCTATCTATGTATTTCCCAGTCTTTTCATATTTATCTTTTCATATCTATCTATCTATCTATCTATCTATGTATTTCCCAGTCTTTTCATATCTATCTATCTATCTATCTATCTATCTATTCATCCTATCTATCTATCTCCCAGTTTTTTTATATCTATCTATCTATCTATCTATCTATCTTTTTTATCTATCTATCTATCTATCTATCTATCTATCCATCTCTTTCTTCATTCATTCATTCATCTATCTATCTATCTATTTCATATCTATCTATCTATCTATCTATCTATTTCCCAGTTTTTTTTCATATATCTATCATCTATCTATCTATCTATCTATTTCCCCATCTATCTATATCTATCTATCTATCTCCCAGTTTTTTTTTTTTATATCTATCTATCTATCTATCTATTTCCCTGTCTTTCATATCTATCTATCTATCTATCTCCCAGTTTTTTTTTATATCTATCTATCTATCTATCTATCTATCTATCTATTTCCCAGTCTTCTTTTCATATCTATCTATCTCCCTAGTCTTTTCATTTCTTTTCTTTCTTTCTTTCTTTCTTTCTTTTCTTTCTTTCTTTTTCTTTCTTTCTTTCTCATTCTTTTTATATCTATTTCGTTATCTATCTATTTATCTGATCGTTCTGAAGCGAACAATTCTTATCATTTTTTTCCCGAACATTTCCCTCCTCCATATCTCTTTCCAGGTCTTTCAGTGTGTTGACCGAAGGCATTTCTTGCTCGTCTACACTTGATCGTTTCCCATAATTTGATCCGATAGTATAAGGTGTTGCACATCGTGTTTAATCTCCACTAATTGCCACCAAACTGCACTCGCCTTTCACGGATTGTGTACGTAATCATTGCTAGGTTTCCCATACATTTCTTTTTTTCTGGGTGTATTTTGTTTCCAGCTGACATTTAACGCTATCCTCAGTCGTCGAGACGATGTATCAGTTAGGATTTTTTTGTTTTTTTTTTTTGCCAGTGATTTACATAACGTCCAACTGAATGTATTAAAGAATTGTTTCAGTTATTGAAATAAAAAGTTACACATGTAGAACTTTCATTTTCGACATCTAGACTCTACTTATTTAAAAAAAAACAAATTCACCATGAATAAGGCAGTAAAGCCACTAAGACCTTTCGCAACCACTAATATGACTATTGGTGAATTAGCTCCTTTCCTTGAAAAGAAAAATAACTAAAATATATACCTTTCTAACTAATGTACTGTCTGATTACTTCCTCCTAATTTTCAAAACCGCTACTCGGGGATGCTTTCAAGATTATAAATACACTGCGGTAAAATTTTATCATTCTCTTTTTACTTTTCCGCTCATACGACAACATGTAAATTTCTCGCGGAAGAGCGCATTCCCTTTTGGGAAACGCTAGAACAATACATAAATCCACACACGTACGTACGTACATTTAGTCATCTCTTATACTTTGGATCAAAACAGTTTTCACATTCATTTGTGACAAACATTATTGTCAAAAACATCACTTGTAATCCTTTGTTGTTAATACATTATTATTTGTTTGTAAATATATATTGGTTTTTGTCGTTTTTTTGTACATTTCTTTACGCGGACTCACATTCCGAGTCCGCCATGTTCTTTGTGGGCATTTCAGGAGACACACGTCTTTATCTCCCAATACGTTTACCGGCGCGGTTACATTGGTAACTAGACGTGAAATAATTAAAACAGAAAACATTATGAAGGAGCGAGAATAATAGATGAGTAATCAGGAGGAAAGTAGATAACGATTGACATTGCATTTAAATTTTTGAAGAGCAGCTTAGCAGGAAATCATGGTATCGGAAGGAAGTTCCACAAGCGGGTAGTACGAGAAAAGACATTGTTAGCCTAGGACGTACGGTTACATATAACCAATTCAACTGTAAATTTATGAGATCCTGTTGCCAATGTGGTACAATACTTAAATTCATAAAGTTTAGGTACCAAAGCAAAGAGCACATTCGAACAATTACCACGAAAGTATTTATAGAAAAGGCACAGGAAGTAACTTTACGACGATGACTGAAGCCAAGACTCCAGGTTAGGCCAAATAATATTGCTAATTCTCCTTTGCATTTTTTTTTCAAGAATCCCAAATTAAATAGCAGGATCACCGTACCACATATGTCAGCAATATTCTAAGCATGTAGAACAGTAGACTGATAGATATGTAAGATAGATTTCAGAGATAAAAAATTGTCTAGCACAACACAATGAACCACTTTCTTAGAAGCTGACCTAGCTCTGGATTCAATATAGTCTTTCGACAGCAAAATTATCCAATTGTTAGATCAAGCTTTGAACCAGTTTATCATAGAAATGATTAAAGATATCTTACCGGAATACCCCGAGGTTTTTATAACATTATTGGACTCTACTTTGAACAATAAGAATGTATTTAGCTCTAAATTGAAATAATGATCCCGCTTGTTGCTTTGACATACTAATTCAGTTTTCCTCTCTACTTTTCCGCCTTTTTTAAACATATTCACATTCTCTTGATGGTTCTTGAACGGATTTGAAGTTACTTACAATCTCAGCAGATGCTCAAAATGTTGGCTTTTATTTTACAGACATTTATTATTTCGGTGACCTACTGCTTAGGCAAGGATGACCAAAGTGTCCAGTGGGATAGCTGCAGTTGAAATGCAGTTTCAATTTCTTGTCTAAGGCCTGCCAATGTAATGACATCTTTTGAGAAAATATCATACTGGTGTGATATGTTATCTCAATTTGATAAAATTAGGAAAGACGGGTTTTTATTTTCTGGAAATCTGTACACATTTTTGGGTTTGAATTGTATATATATATATATATATATATATATATATATATATATATATATATATATATATATATATATTGTTTGTGTTAATTATTCTTTCTATTTCTCCACATAATTCATCGCTAAAGATCCTGAAAAAAGATCGGTCATCTGTTCCGCTCCAGTAAGTTCCATAACTCCTCCTGTTTTCCTTTTTCTTGACAAGAGCCAGATCAGGCCGAAAATGGGGTACTGCTGCCATATACAGACAAGAGAAGTCCATTCTTCACTTTACAGTTTCAATAAAGTTCGAAAGCGTATACGTGGCATTGTGTATAATGAATTATTTTTCGCCCTACAACCACTTTCCACACAGCTGAAACATTGCATGCCTCTGGTTATTCTACCGCTAATCCCATGGAAAATGTTTAGAATAACTACATTCTTTAGTTTCACCAGTTACACCCATAAGACCCACCATGCCACCTAAATTGTAACGAATCACCCCTTAATATATCATATCTCGACCAACATCTTCCATCGAAGCACAACTTTGTGGAAGAGACACACAAGACGATGCTTCTCCGCTCACGAGAGTCTTAACTTATTCCAGTTTAGTTAACTGTTAGCTAGCCATCAAATCCTCATAAAATATAACCCTTATTCTGTAACCCTCTACCTCGAGCTGCTCTTGGGTCTTCTGAATATTATTCTAAAAAGTGCAACTAATATTATTATTATTAACAAACAAAATAATTGATGTAACTCTTCCAATTTTTTGCAATACGAGAAGAGCGCGATTTACGAAAATAAATAGAAAGCAAAAGCACTGTCATTAACACTGTTTCGACAGTAGGTTTGTCTTCTTCAATTTGTATTGAAAGATTGCATACAAATCTAAAAAGAATGAAAATACCAGTATTTGTACAAGTATCGCTTGTGTTGAGAAACATGGTTGGACGGGTCAACAACGTGACAAAACGAATGTAACGCATCTGAAGTGAATGAAATGAAAATAAAACAGAAGCTATATAATAAAGATCGTGCTCATGTCAAAAATATTTGATTAATTACTATTCTCTACGCATTATTATTATTATTATTATTATTTCTAGACTCAAAATAATGTCTATCTAAATCTATATAGTCATCCACAGTTTCGTTATATCCGCTATATAGTCATCCGCTGTTTCGTTATATCACAGCTCTTCATTGCGGCTAGACGTCCGAATTGACATCAGTCAGATGTCTTACCTCTAGGCCGGCAGGGAAGGAAGGGAATTTTAACGTCTTTCTCTATACGAAATACGCCAGCAGTTCATAGAACTCAATTCAATTTTAACTGAAAAGTAAGGCTTGATAGCAGGGAGTCGATGATTTTTAAAACCACCTTTTTCCTTAGCTCAACCGGATTTCCGGGAATATATATATATATATATATATATATATATATATATATATATATATATATATATATATATATAATATCTGAAGTTGATAGCTGCGGCTGCGATCTTGCGTGTATGTACGTTTTTTATTACAGACAAACACACAGATATATATAAACGATTGAATTTTATTTTCAATCGAATTGTATTTTTATTAATACAGTGCTCAGTATCTTACCAACAGGACCACCTATCATGTAAATGTCACGTTTTCATATTTCATTGAAAATATGACAAACATACGTCACATTATTTAGAAGATCCGGAAAGCGTAACATTTGCAGTATATATATATATATATATATATATATATATATATATATATAGGATGATAGTAAAGAAAGTAACTCCCCATTTTAAAATACTAATAATTGATTAATTAACTATCATTTTTACAAGAAATGGATATGAAAAGTAAAACGTTTAGCATGAGGTTTTATCTAAAATTTGATATGGGCATCAGATTTAGCTACCAGCTTCTCGAACCATCCAGGAATTGTGTCAAGTGATATCACAAGGAACACTCGTGGTATGGAAGACATTCACTCAGGTATGTGCCATGCGTGATACACTCTTAGGCGATCATGTATCTTTCGATACATGACTGACGAAGCAGAATTTTCCCGCAGTAGGTTCCATTTTCGTCAGCGTTAAACCAGTTCTCTGCAAGACTATAGAAAACGGACTGATGGAAGACATTACATCTTGTATTTGCCCTTCAAGTCCTTCCAAAATTTGGCATAGCTGACATGCAAAGGAAAAAGTCACATGGGGTTAAGTCAGGTCCCCTGACTGGCCATCCATATATAAAATAGGGACTTACTTTTCAAACATATATATATATATATATATATATATATATATATATATATATATATATATGTGTGTGTGTGTGTGTGTCTGTGTGTGTGTGTGTGTATATATATATATATATATAAATATATATATATATATATATATATATATATATATATATATATACTGAAGCTCTTAATGTACAGCCAGTTAGGTCAGGGGTACAGGAATGTAGGACGCCCATGGCTAAGAAACAAATTCAAGCTGAATATACCACATAACACCCTTGAGCGCTTAGCCTTGGAGCGGGTAGAATGTAGATGAACGCCTTTTCAATCTGCCTATCTGAATCATCTTCAAGAAGCGAGAGCAAGATCCAAAAGCTCTGCCAATCTAACAGTGGTCTCATCTCACAATCCTCACACTTGCTCCATATGTGGCCTCCTTTGTAAATCACAAGCGGGTCTTAAATGCCACTTAAGATTATCGCACAAACTTTCATGACTGAATCAATAAGCTGGCAGATCCTCATACGTCGAAACCGACGGGAGAGTCCATTATCACACACACACACACACACACACTCATTTATATATATACACATATATATATATATATATATATATATATATAAACATAAAGAACGTATAAATATATATAAAAATATATATATATATATATATATATATAT